TCGAGCCGGGGATGCCCAATTGTTACGTACTCAACTGGATGAATATTTCCTATTACTATTGCGCTTTTTTTTATCTAAGTCCCTCAGGACATTGCACCAGTACAGTTGTTATAAATTAAAGATTATTTTGAAATAGGTAGTTTCAGACCAAGTCGTAAGCATCACGTTAAGGTAGAGATTAGTATAATAGTTGAGCATTGTGAGACATTAGATTTTGCAATAATTTAAGACCATCCTTTTAGTAATTAAGTTGCTATACAACAATCGAACTGCTGCACTAAAGTTTAAGAGATTACTAGAATTGACGGTTTTTCGAAGCTCTATCTTTAATACATTAACTTGTTATGAAGGAGAAATCATCCGATAAATTTTGAGAGCTAACAAGAATCCCGTTATGTATCCATTTTTCTAGTTTAACGTCCTATGCGGTATCTATTCGCAGAACCATAAAGACAGTAAGCCGTTTTGGATGGGGAAAAAGTTTTAGGCAAACAAAACCCGATGTGCTGTCACTTTGAACCGATCTAGCTTCATGCCGATGACATTCCTTTCGTGCATTATTTTTTAAACTTTCCGCAAATTTCTTTAACTCCTCCCTCGATCAGACTAAACCCATGACACATTGAATAGAGAAGGGACCTCCTCACTTTGCATTGGACGTTGAAGTGTTCGAAGAGTTGGCCCCGATAGTGGTGCTACTGTCGACAGCATGGTTAGTGCCACTGGGGCTTCGACTACCTTGCGCGGGCGTCCTGTTCCTCTCTTGAATAACTCTGGCTATTGGTTGAACATAAGTGTGAACCCTTAGTTGTCTGTTTATTTTGCCGCTGTTGTTGCTGTTGGTAAATTCTCCTCCTTTCTTAGATCTACCGTTATTTCCTTGAATTCATATCTGGCCCTTTGAACGCTGGCCTTACATGACGCGAAGTTAGGACACACTACCTTCTGCTACAATTTATGGGCTTTACCGCAGTTGCAGCAAAGCCCGTTTTACTCAAGCTGTCTCTGGTCTGATGAGTGCCCGCACACTCACCACGTCTTCCTGTCTTGTTGCGCGAGGCTTAAGTATGCCTATATTCGCTGCAATTGAAGCACTGCTTGAATTGTGCTCGGGGTAAGCAGAGCTAGGCCGTGAATTGCATTAAATGTAGCACGATGCCGTTTCTTTTCACTTCGCGTTGAAGCGCCTCTGTCGGAAAGCTCGCGATCACCGATCCTCGAGTATGACCGTTTCTTCCCATCCATTGGTGCTCTTTGCCGTCGAAAAGCCTCACCCTGTTGATTTTTAATTCAGGAATTCGAACTTTTGTCTCCTCCTTTATTTGATTTATCAATATGACATTATCGACATTCTTTCCTCCTCGTCATATTATCCTCAATGAGACTCCTAAAATCTCAACAGTATAATCCTGCTTTATGACGCTGAACTCCCTTGGCGGAGTCATCCTTAAGGCAGCGTCTCGTTGGGAGACCTACTGCATGAACACCTCAGTGTCGTTACTCCTCAGCTTCCATACAGCATATGCCCCTGTGAACATTTCTATCTTGATATCGACCCGTACAAACATACAGTATAATAGTGACTCATATTGATACTCGGGATTGCGATGGATAGCAGAGATTGATGGTGTTAATGGCGTTGCGGGGTTTGGTAATTAGTGACAGGGATAGGACACGTATATATATATATATATATATATATATCGCGCACTTGACTCCTCTTTGATATGATAATGCTTCTGACTACATTCACAATGCCTATAACTACTCTGGCCTAATCACTCCTTACTATATCGGTCCCATCTTCTAATTAATATCCTTTTCGCCCTTTTATCTCAAATGAAAGGTCATGACATTTTTCGTCTTGCTGGCCATCATCAAGCTCAGAGTTATGGACAGATTAAATCTTTAACAGCCCCCTCAATATGTAGTTTTGCCTAGTTAAGCAGCTCTGACAGCTGCATATTTTCTGCTCCTTCAACTCTTATCCGTACTGCCGCTTTGGTTGCTGACGGTGCGACAACTGAGGCATAGGTTGGTCGACCTCCCATTGTTTGTGCCAACTGAGGAGCCGTCTTGCACACCAGCTCATCGAGACTCTTCGTAACTGCCTTTTTTATCGACTTTGTAATCTGGGACAACAAGCATAAAATAATTATGGATTGTTAGATGTCGATATGTGTAAATAAACGTTGAGCATTGCAAAGAAAATATATTAAAAGTGTATATGTAAATGTAGATGAAAGATAATTGATTATATTAAAAGATGTGCTTCCTGTAGAGCCTGCCTGTCCTCACCTCCTGTCCAGGTCACTTAAGACCTATCTATCCAAAGTATTCATACGTCATCCATACACTTAGCAACACATCAAGACTTAATCTTTAAGTTAGATCTAGTTACAGTCCCGTTTACAGAATGTTACATTAATGTTCGCGATGATGGTGTTTTCCTATGCTAAACATGTTCCATGCATCTACACCCCTGAGCTGTGTAACTGCTAAACATGCACTGATGTAACAATTCAATACACATGTATCAAAACTGAACCTCTCACACTACGAATCATAGTCCTTCGGATTATACTCCAAGGAGAAACAGTAGCCTGAAATATATCCGAGCATCTCTGTATATTCCTAACCCTGGTCTAATGCAAACACTTTTCCAAGGCTAGCATCCTTTGTTCCATTGGCTTTGCCGACATCTTAGATTGTAACATCTGATTGTGGGCTTTGAAGGCATCAAGAGCCTCATCTATTTGCACTATCGTTGCCGCAGACATGGAAGTACCTGTATTCACCAGTCTGCCTCGAACCTTACTTATATATATCGCCACTGTCTTTAAAAATCCATTTTAACGCCTGTAGATATTGCGAAAAGGTCTACGGCCGTAGTTGTGGCTGTTACTCCGCCTATTGTTGGTTGTGGTGGTGCCGGGAAGAAATTTTCAGCCGCGAAATCTATCTTTCTGGCACCCCAGCTCTCCATTCCGAGGCGCGATGTAAAATGTTCGTGGAATCAAGTTAGAAGGATCGATTAAGATGAATGCAATAATAAAAACGATGAAATGACGTTCATGGATCGTGGTTTCGTTTTTTGTGAATTATGTTTTCGTCGAATCTAATATCGTTATAACGAGTCCGCACTGTATAAGCGACACAGAACTTAAGCCACAACTATTGTAGCGCTATCTGTGCAAAGAAAGCAGCCCAATTATCCTCTTGTGCCTACAACATACAGCCGCCTATGTTTAACTGATTCATTTTCTTGCTTCTTCTGAGCCTATGACTATGTAGGTTATGTACGTCCTCTCTGCCTATATGCCAAGGACACCTATCTAGCAGTGCAGCCCCTCCTATGCGTCCTGTGCAGTTCCTATCAACAGTGCCAACCCTCACGGGCCCTCATTTGATTGTACACCCAGAGGGTCTCTTTGCTTTCCTTTAATTTATTTCTGCAGTCAACGTAACTTAGAATATTTACGGCTGTATCGCAGCCGGGAAAAATCGCAAAAGCCACTGTGTACAGGGCTCTTCTAATACCGAAATTAGGACTAGATCCAAAGACAGAGTGACCCTTATTAAGCGTTCGAAGAGGTTAGCCAGCTGGGCGCTGTAAACTTGTGTGTACCTCTGGAAATTCACACTCTGCCTTTCTAGCTTCCTTCCAACTCCTTTCCGAAGGTCATGCTGAAATTTCAGAATGACGTTGACAGAGCGTGATTGCTGTATGGTAGCTTAGCCCAACTTCTTTTGTGCTGCCTAGGGCCCTGGGGAGTGCCGTTGAATCATCGAAAACAGAAGTCTTCCTGGCTAATTAGATGAAATCTCAGTCTTGGCGCCTACAAACGTTCCAGAGTCGAAAACAGCTCGAAAATGTCAGACATATCATTTTCAAAAAAGATCACTTCCTTCTCTATTTCCACACTCCATTTGTCTATCACTCCTCAAGGTACGTAACCCTATTAGAGCAATGGTCCCCCATAGGCTAAGACCCGAGCTTTGTGGATAATGACTTAGTTTCCTCCTTGCGGATATACAAAGCATTGTAATCTTGTAGTGGGAGATTGCCGGTTTTTGATGACGCGAATTTCCGATTAAAATTGGAGTAACGCCTTTATCGGTGGTTGAGGCGAGGTGTTGTAGTACGACTGAGGGAGGACTCGCGTGAGAATGATAGGTCAGATATCGAAGAGAAGTCGTCGATCTTAGATGAGCTTGAGGTTACTTTCGACTTAGGTTCGAATGCGATTATTCTTGTCTATCCCATATATCCAGAGCACACTGAGCTACTACGCTGGCACCACTGGATGACGAAGAATTCGTCTTTGCCGGCGCGAGTTCCTAATTGAACACTAAGTAAAACTCGTTGAAATCGACAAGCCTTTGAAAAAAATTGATAACACCTTTTCTGGAAATATTTGGCATATTCTGCTGAATGATTCACCTGTTAGTTGTCTATAATACCGCTGAAAGATACCCAATCTTCTCAAGTTTACTTTTTTTTTGAATTGTATTTTAATTGCGTATGCAGCTATCTAGCTCTGACACAATATCGGATAATGGATCAAGAAAATATGACATAATTCACATGAAGAGCACTCTCAATTTTACTCTTTAACTGTTTCCATAGATCTAGATTTAGGTCGACTTTTACACTTTCCGAATATAAGCCGACTCTAACTTTTGTTGTCACGTGATTTAGATGCAACAACACCTCATAATTTGCACTCTTCCATGCCAGTATGATTCACACGACCAATTTTCGAAAGTCGCCGCACGCACTCTTTTACCTCAATTCTTAACTGAGTATATCTTTGCGCTCATATTACTTACTTGCACGAGGTGTAATGCCATTCAAGTGTTTATAATTGCTTCCATCCGCCATGTATGCGAATGTCTACGGCTATGGCGCAGGAAATGTCTTCAATCCAAATGCCGGGTCTCAACAGTCACAGCCTCAAGTTCAGACTCAAGCATCACATCATCAGCAATCTGGACGTCAACAGCAGCAGCAGCAGCAACAGCAACAGCAGCAGCAGCAACAGCAGCAGCAGCAGCAACAACAGCAGCAACAACGTCAGCAACATCAGCAACAACACCAGAAACAGCAGCAGCATCATCAACAGCATCAACAACAGCAGCATCATCAACAGCAACAGCATCAGCAACCGCAACAACAGCATCAACAACAGCATCAACAACAACAGCATCAACAACAACATCAACAACAACATCAACAACAACAACAACATCACCAACAACAGCAACAGAATCAAAAAAATCAGCCTCAACAGGTCATTTTCTCCTCTCAGCAGTACGGTGATCCATCATGCTCTTCGCAGCTTTCACCTTACGGCTCAGTATCAAACGGTAACACACAGCCAATAAGTTCAAATAATAGTTTATCTCATATTGGTGGCGGAAGCGGTATGTTTCACTTGTCAAATTAATTTGCAAAAAAAATTTCTTACAATTAATTACCTCCTCTTCTTAAATTTAACGAAATTAATTGTTTGGCTTATTTCTCCAAATTAAAATAAAATTGGTCTTCAATTGGACCACGGTATTAGGATAACATTATAAGCCCCTGGAAATTTGTTGTCTTAGCTCTAAATAATCACAAGATCACTTATAGCATCATAGCTAACAATTTTTAGGCGTTCCTTCGTATCAAACACCCTATTCCAGCTCTCCATACAGTGGAAGCGGTAACATACCAGTATCTACTGCAGGCTCACTTCCGAATTTTATGCCCAGTCTTAGTGCATCATCTGTTTATGGAATGGGCATTACCAGTGCTAACCTACAACTTCAACCTCAGAGAAACCAGTCAAATTCAAACTTACCTACACCTGCTCAATCAAGCTCAAGATCGTCACACATTTCAATCGGCCAGTATAGCTCATCTCCAAATTCGACTATGTTATCTCAATTTTCCACGCCACAATCAAACTCTCAAAATTTGCCAGCCGCTACCAGTGGGCAAGCAATATCTTCCGCCACACCACAAACTCCTAATTTTCCACCTTACAATACTCAGACTGGGCCAACCATGATTTCACCCCTAAGCCTTGACCCAGAAGCTTGTGAAAAGGAACGAGTCAAAATACTACTGAAAATAAACAAGGAGCTCTTGCTTGAAGTCATACGTCTACAATCTATTCATAATGAAGCCAAAGAAGAAGTGACTAATATTTCTACGAACCTGGAGTTATCAGACAAAGAAAAAACTAAAGGACCTGCTTCCTCGCGGTATTACTTTGAGTATATAAGTATTAAATTCAGGTAGATATTTGTCTAACATTGTTTAGGTGCATGCGTCGTCTACAGGCCAATCTCGCCTATCTTGCTGCTAGAACAGACAGGAGTAAATCTTCAAATCAGCTACCCACTCATCCTCAGATTATGAGTGCACCTACTTTGACATCAAGCAATAACCCGCCAGTTCAAGGTTTAAATCCATCGCATACACCAGAGACTAAGAGAGAGAATGAAGATACTGAAGCTGATGTCGACCGTCTTGAAACCTTGAAAGAGTATTACAAGTCGCTTCAAGCACTCTTTCCTAGTGTCGACCCTCGGAAAGATTCCCTCCCCAATACAACTGGAAGAGTTCAGCCACAAAAGCAAGCAATCCTCGATCAAAACGTACAGCAAAAAATGCAAAACGAGATGTTGCGACAGAAAATGATACAGGCTCAGCAAGCCCCACAAAACCACAAGCAAATGAGCCACAGTCAACAGCAGCAGCGTTGAAGTCTACTTGAGATAGAAAACTTACTACACGAACGGCATAAAGTGCATTTTCAGACACTAGGGGGCTCGCAAACTAGCAGGATTTGGATCATGTTGCACATCATTTCAGGTAGAAAATGGCGGAAACCTGGTTTTCAGAAACTTAGAAAAAATCTATTCATAAAAAGTCTAATAGAAAGACATTTGGGAATGTCGCTCAGAAAAGTTAATGAAAATACCTTTCTCTTTATCGCTTTATGATAGTTTTTCAGGCCGACTACAAGCAGTCTCACAGTATAAAATTAGCCTCAACCTGCAAATGCAATGCGGCTATCACAACAACTCCCATCAAGCTCTTCTTGATTAGGCTTGTGATAACTTGCGCTGCCCTAATTTTGGCTGGAATGTATAACTTAAACGCATTCAAATAGCAAGAGATATTTGAGCTGTGCAAAGAAAACAGGATAAATCCTAAATGCACGTGGGATCGTCTTCATAAGGGATTGATGCCTATTGTACAAAGAAGCTTGGCCATTTTCTGCATCCTCAGCTTATTCTTAACCTCAGCAGTTTGATTAATCGCTGTTTAAAACGGACTAATGCGTCAAGAAGCAGGATATATTACTGGTCGGACAATTTACCATATTTTGTGGATAAAGCCTCGGGGGTCAAGAAGCAACCAGATAAGCGATGACTTTGAAGCATATTCGACCCAATAATGTCAATTCGCTTAGGCCAACCGATGCAGTTGTTCGGTGTAGATATAGTGATGGATGCGCAGCGAGTACTCTATATTTCCAAATACCAAAGCTCAGATACCGACTAACTTTCAAGCGGAAATCTAAAATCTTCTTGCTATCTCCACAGTCGCCTTTCCTGTAGAGAAAAGGGAGACATCCCTCTCACCCTCTGCCCCCAAGTTTCTAGAATTTAATGCCTTAGCTCGGACCCTATTTACCAATGATTAAGACGTCGCTACGGAATAACCCCTTAATATCTCAACTATACTTGTACTCGGCTGCCCGAGGCGGTAGAAAGCAACATCTTTGCCACGAATGTCGACCGATGACGGAGAGATTAGCTGAGGATTAAACATTTGGGATTATGAATGTTTGAATGGTTACCGGTGAATAATTGTACGTTCACTGAGTGATGCAAATGCAGATGATTTACAATAGTATTATACTGGCTTGGTATCTTCAAACGCTGCAAACTCACCGCTTCTATATACATGTACTTTATGTCATATATTTCCGTCTCTGTAGTATTTTAGTTCCATTATGCTCTATTCCAATCTCTTCTAGCCTGTTCCGCTTGCAATACCGCTCTCCGTGTCTCCTAGATCTAAAAAACCGAGACGCAGGGTTATATATGTTGTCAATCACAACACCGAGGTTTTTACCCCTTGCTTGGTCTCCTTCTGAGGGCTGTTTCTGGGTCGCAGATTAATTATAATCACGCTGATACGCACTCTATTCGCCATTGCTGCTTCTAATTTCTGTTAGCCAGTGTAATTCTCTATGCCATAGTTTCAAGCTGCAAGGAATTAGGGCACGAGGATTTGATATTTTAGGAAAGAAGTAAGAAACAATGTAAGCAACTGGATTAGACTTGGCAGCGGAGCCAAGTTATTAGGAACAGCGGTTGCATAGTTATGTTACTACTGATGGGCGTCTAGGTTTGGTACTATGGAAAAATCTCCTGGTACTCAAGAAGCTGGTCCAAACAATCAGCTGGTTCACCAACATTGCAATTTATATCTTACTTTTTCATACAGCCTATCGGTCTCGCACGCAGCCCAACTATGTTAAATCACATTTTAAAATTTAGCATATAACTCATCTCTTCTTGCGTTGCCTTTTTCAATTTCTTCATCCATAGAACCTTGTGCTACATCCAATTCTAAAGACGACACGTTGAATTCCCTTTGCTCTTGGCGTAACATGAAGACTGCCGAAATTTCTAGTTAGGCTCAGATTTCGGTTTGCAAAAATATGATACAAGGCCGGACACACTCTAATGGAACGATGAACTCAAGCAATTATGGCTAACGAAAAAAATTACATAGTCTGAGCCACTTTCTCGGATGGTTTGTTCATAAGCTTAGTATCTTCTACCTCAAGACAATATGACTTCCAGTTATCCTCGAATTTCCTCTTGGCTGAGACATTATTGTATTTAGTGGTCATGTAGTGGAGAGAGTACTTGACTTTTAAGGTAAGTAATTAAGCCTTTAGAGATACCGTTTGTAATATGAAGATTAATTTGTCCGTAGAACTGCACTTCTTTGTTGTGTGTCTAATCTCTACTTTACGAGAACACTTTTATTTATAGACATAGATCATCTAAGCACTTGATAGTAGAAGATTCTATCCTGTATTTTAATTTATTCTACATTCTTCTTAATCTCCTCCACATATAACTGTCCGTGATTTTATAACGCTAACTATATCTTATATAGGTCTTTATATCATCTACTGCATCTTGCATGATTGGCCCGGAGAGTTCACATCACAATAGAGATGCCGTTGGGTGGGAAATGCATCTGCCTACGAGTTACTAAGGATCTTCTACAAGTTTGTTACCAAAATCTGGTTATCGAGACAGACCTCAATTCAAGGTTTCATCATTCTCAGCGAGAGATTTACGGCATGGTCTGTTCGAGGATATTCTCTACATGTTTATATAGGGAAATAAAATCAGGAAATACAAAGACCTGTATATAAATAACGTCAGGAGAGATTCAGACCAGTTTCGCGTACTTATCATATACAGTTATGACCAGCTATATTTTATCTGCCATTGAGAGGCCCAGAACACCGTAGTATATTGATATCTCGATGTAAATAATGCTTTTTATAAATGAAATAATGATTCCTCAGCCATCGAAGTTGTCGAGCGCATCCATTCAAGTAGCTACGGAAGTGAAAGTAAATACAGGTTTTGTGGTTACCTGTATGCCAACAAAGAGGCCTACTTGGGAGCCCATTTGTTCTAATTTCTGGCACTTTTTACTTATTTGATTTAAATTGTTCCGATTTCGCACCCTGTCGGCCTGTGCGGATGACTTTCTAGACAGTTAAAGTAGACGAGCCTCCATTTTACAGGGCAACATCTAGAATAAAGACCAAACCCGCCTCTCATACGTGCCCCAGCTTAGTGTTTTCGGGAACAACTTTCTCCATTGCAAATATCATTACGCCACATACGTCACCTCTATTGTAAGTGCATTGATCACATTAACACAGAGACAGGTTAGGAGGTTTAGCACGTAGGGCAAATTAGAGGGATACAAGTTAGAGATCAAGTCGATATTACCGATCGCAATATTCATCAGTAAAATACTCCTAAAATATACTAGCTACACTGCTATCTGGAAATATTTGGGATAGGTTATCATCATATAGCTATAATCAGTAACTTACAATACACAGGACGGAGGGGCTAGTTACTAAGGTTCTGGGGTATCTGGAATGATAGAAGTAGACGTTGACCGTAGAGTCAATACTGTATGGATTTGTTATATCAACTAGGTTGTAGAAGATTAGGGCGATGAACAAAATTAGGGAAATTAAGCTCACAGAAGGTCACATTAATAGCTATCGCTTGTGTTCTCGTGACAAGTAAGAATTGAATTTGTGTTTTGGCGCAGGAGGAATTTGGTCAAGAGATGAAACGGTGATCAAGACCTTCTTGGAAGTTATTCCAGACTTACTGTGTTACCAGAGCCTAGGGGGACTATTCTCAACACCAGTCAGCGGTATCCCCTACGAACCTCCAGCTCTCACTGTAGAGTCTGCAGAGCCGAGATTGAGTAACAAAGTCCTCACTTCGAAGAGGATTCTCAATCGCTTTCGCGGTCTGCATCGTCTCCATCTCTCAACACATCCCCCGATCATCATTATCATGAAGCTAATCACGATCAGATCAGATGGTAGGGTCGGAGCCCTACTCATCACCCACCCTTGATCAGGGAGGATATGCCATCCGATGAGTTTCAGGAGCGCACCCAGCACCCGATACGGAGATGGCGGATTGGATCAAGTCGACCTCAACTATTATTTATTTATTTATTTATTTATTTATTTATTTATTTATTTATTTATTTATTTATTTATTTATTTATTTATTTATTTATTTATTTATTTATTTATTTATTTATTTATTTATTTATTTATTTATTTATTTATTTATTTATTTATTTATTTATTTATTTATTTATTTATTTATTTATTTATTTATTTATTTATTTATTTATTTATTTATTTATTTATTTATTTATTTATTTATTTATTTATTCATTCATTGATCTAGTTTAACGTCCTATGCGGTATCTATATACAGAACCATGAAGACGGTAAGCCGCTTTGGTAAGGGAAAAAGCTTTCAACAAACAAAACCCGATGTCCTGCCACTTTGAACCGACCCGGCTTTTTGCTGAGGACGTTCCTTTCAACCGCAATTATGTAAACTTTCCACGAAATTCGTTAACTCCCCCTTCAATCAGACTATCGTTATGAGAAATTGAAAAGAGAAGGCACCTCCTCACTCGGCGTTGGTCTTCGAAGTGTTCGAAGAGTTGGCCCCGATGGTGGTGCTGTTGTGGCGGGGATTGTTGGTGCCACTGGGACTTCGACTACCTTGCGTGGTCGTCCCGGCCCTCTTTTGAGTACTTCAGCCTTTTTACTGGTGACCAAAGTGAATCCTTGATCATCAGTCGTTTCGACTGTTCGCATTGGCGCCACCGTAGGTTTCTCGTTCCATATTTCCGCCGTCCTCGATAACAGCTCCATCCGAGCCTTCTCCACACTTCCCTTGTAGACTTGGTAGGTCCGACACGCTGCTTTCTGCCACGAACGGTGCTCCTTGCCGCAGTTCGCACAAGAAACCCTTTTCCTCGGACAGTCCCGAGTTTGGTGAGCGCCAGCGCACTCACCGCACCTGGCTGCCTTTCCACACGACGCCTGCGTGTGTCCCCACTGGCTGCAGTTGTAACACTGCTTTGGCTGTGACCGTGGTGA